GAAACTAAGGTCTGTCTCCAGAATCACACCAAGATTCCTGACTTGATTTTTAGTTGTTTGACCCCTAGAGTCAAGGTATGCATTCACCTTGAGAACTTCATCTTTGTTTCCAAATGCAATGACTTGGTAACAGTTCCTGAAAAATACATGAAATCGGTTCTGGAGCAATCCAGAAAAGTAATGGGTTGAAAGTCACATGTCTCATGAGTTTCTATTTCAAATCTGAAGAAAATACCATGAAAAATTAGATTCCTGCAACAATTTTTCTGAGACTATGTCTACTCCCACCCCCTGTTTCAGAAAAAATATTTACCAAATGTATTGAAGGGTTCTACAAAATATTTTAGTCATTAAACATACCACTGCACAGTTTTTCAATTATGAAATGCAGCATTCACACTGATCATACAGTCAGTAATCACATGCTGATGTGCGGTCATACAAATGGTAATTAATTATACAGATGGCTCGCCATATAGTCAATAATCACTCTATTCATATAGACCACATTCACACTGATAGCTGTCATACACACAGTAATCACATGCTGATGTGCGGTCATACAGATGGTAATCATGATACAGCCACATTCCCCACAAAACACACACACATATATGAAAAATGTTGAAGAAAAAAAAAAAGAATTATTTGTGCAAAAAGCCGATCGCTAAGTTACACCCCCATCAGAGGTCATGAGCCGTCACGAGAGAGCGCCAGAATTCAAATTAACAATATTCCGCGTATCTTTGACTTTTTTTTTTTAGTGGATGGTTTCATTCTGTTTGTGACACTGTATGCTACAAAACCATGTTGCTTTTTACTACCAGTTTTTTGAGCGTAAGTTCTTCCATAACGGATACAAACAGTAACTGTCCCCAAATAAATGAGAAGTAAACAAAGGAATAACCATCCATATTACAACGTTATTGTTTCGTTGGACTAAAAGTGCTCTATGGGATGTTGTTCAGTGGACCCTTACCTTTCTAACTAAACCAGGATTTACAGCTGTGGATGCGTTTATGACTCGTTATTACAATGAATCTGGTTTGTACTGCGTTTTGATTATGCATGTTTTGATGTGTACTGCTTACACAAATTTAGCAAATACATTCTTTATAAGCTTTCCATTGAAAAACAGCGATCTATCGTCGATACTTGAGGCTTAGACCTTTAGAATGATATATAGTTTGTCAAGATTAATTATGTCCCTTTTCATTGAATCTATTCGTAAACATTGACACGTGCAAGCAAACAGCGTTCAGTGCGCCGGCGTCCAGGCACAGGTTAACTGGAGAGAGTTCTGGCACATCCAACTATTAATTTCATCAATGCATTGGCAGAGGGAGTCAATGGGGCTGTAGTCATTTGGAGATAAGGCTAGGTAAATCTGGGTGTCATCTGCATAGCTGTGATAGGCAATTTTGTTATTTCTTATTATTTGACTTAGTGGGAGCATATACAGGCTAAACAGGAGCGGTGCAAGAATTGAGCCTTGTAGGACTCCGCATGTCATGGACATCCACTTAGACTTATGCTCTCCTATACTCACATAATAACCTCTCCCTACTAAGTATGACCTGAACCATTTGATTACATCCCAGAAAGCCTGACCCAGTTTTCCAGTCTCTCTAGAAGTATGTTATGATCGACCGTGTCAAACACAGCACTGAGATCTAGTAGTACCAGCACTGATATTTTGCCAGAATCAGAATTTAAGCGAATATCATTTATTATCTTAATGAGCGCTGTCTCTGTGCTGTGATGCGGTCGGAAACCAGATTGAAAATTGTCCAGGTATCCATTGGAGTTTAAGTAGTTGTTCAGCTGATTAAAAACTACCTTTTCAATAATCTTGCATATAAAAAGGAAGATTTGATATTGGTCTATAGTTGCTCAATATAGTGTTATCAAGTGTAACTGCAATGGTCCAATATGTACTTTTTCATCATCTTTGTTTATTTTATTTTATTTTGTATGTATTTATTTATTTTTGTCCCATTGAGCCAGTGACAATTGCATCAACTGTCCTGGGTGTATTTTAGGGCAGTTCTTATTGTCAGGCCCTGGTCTGACCCTAGGTGGTGCTATAATAAGACCATAAATGATTTCCTTCATGTCTTCACAACTGTACAGTCGAGAATTGAAATTCTGTTCCATTTAAGTTTTGTCTAAGTGTTATGAAGATATAAGTCAATGAAATTTTGGAGAGGGGGTTGGCCAATTTGACCAGTTGCCCTTCAGGACATTCTGAGGTGAATTTGTGCAGTTTTGCTCAGTTGGGGCACTGCAATTTAAAAACCTGTCATAAGTTATCAAAACAATTTTGAATCTTTTTTTTTTTTTTTTAGCAAATATGGGCCAAAATATTGTTTGGTTTGGACCATAGTGACTTATTGGCCTATAACTATAACAACCCAGAAAGCATGGATTTCATTTCATGATTTCTTGTTGCGAGGGGGACTAACAGCAAATTCTATGTTCAGCCACTTATTTGTTATTGTGAATGACAGATGAAAGCTGCAGTTGTAATGTTGTTTATCTTAGCCATCTTAGGATAGGATAAGAAATCCTAACTTTCAAAGAAATGTCCGGACCTTTTACATCATTGTGAAATCATATTTTCTGATTTCCTTTATGAAGCGTGTTGTCTCTTTTGGAATTAGCATTTATTTTTGTAAGCTGTAAAGAACACTAACTTACAGTATCAGTGGAGATTCAAAACTGTTGACATTGTTGTAAACTCACATAAAAATTGGAAACATACATGGTAGTTGTGTCATCTAATTGTTCAAATGCATTATTCATTATCACACCCGTTGATTGTCACTTGCGGCTATATTCATGAAACTTGTTTTGTGTTTTACAATAGCTTTGTACAAGAATGATCATTTTTTGGGCATGTGTTTTTTAAATGTATATTTCATGATACTGGTTAGTTGTTTCCTTTTTTTTAACCTCATCTCTACAGCGGTATCAAAAATGTATAACCTTTTGATGACATATTAATGTTCCTCTAAATAAATAAATATTATGTAACAAAAAGCAGCAGTATTGAAGATTCTGTATTCAGCCCACCTGTCTTACCTTTATCTGCCCTTCCAGGCTCTGTGTAAAATAACACGCCAATCTGCGGGGGCCTTCCAGAGTGTGATTGACAAGGTGGGATTACCCAGCATCCTCAGTTGTCTGGTGTCAGGCATCAGCCGTGTCCAGCAACACATGCTCACTATGTTCGCTGCCATGTTGGCATCAGGAGCACATTCCCACAGACTGGTACAGGACCGGGTATGTACAGCATATAAAAACGGTTTCCAAATGGGATGTTTAATAAAATCATGTCTATTTTTCATGGTGGAATTAGATTTTCCAAAAATAGTTGCAAAAAAAAAAAACTTTTTAGAAGTAAACATCTACAGTATATAAACATTTTCAAATGAACTATACGTGTACAAGTATATTTATATTTGTAATCAGGATGCCGGTGTCCAGACCAAACATTCCCCAAAACGTTTATAGCAGGTTTTCTAAAGTTTTCATGTAAACCAAGTGTGTACAGTCTTAATAAATAATTCTATAATTTATCAGTCTTGGCAATGTTTAGGATGAGGTTTTGGGATTTGACGTGGCTGCATAATTCATAGTTATCAGAAATATACAAACATGTTTTTATATATTTAAATATTAATACAGTGGTGGTGTGAAAGAATCATGCACCTTAATGATTGATGTGTTTATTTTCTCTCATGTTCTTATTTTTTTGCATTCAAAAAACATTCACTCCCTTTGCTTTCACTTTTAATGAGAGTGTTAAAAATAGTTGAGAAGAATATCAGTAGGGAAACAGGTGCTGTAAGGACAAGTGTGCTGTGTTGCGTACAGTACAATTCAGTGGAACACAGCGATTTATAGCATGTGAAATCTTAGGTGAGATAGCAAAGATATGCAAGTGCTATAACAAGTCTCAGTTAGCTTAACGCAGTACACGTAGCAAGTTTTTTTTTTTTTAATTGTATAATAAATAAAAAGAAAACAAATAGAATACAAAAAGATTAGAAAAGCTAGTGTTAGGTTTTTTCTTTTTTTTTTTTTAAAGAAAACAAGCAGAAAATGAATAAGAGTGCAAGTCTAAAAGGGACACTTTTTTTTTTAAGAATATAATTAGAATGCTAGAGTTAGAGGGTCAAATAAAGATGGAAGAGATGTGTTTTTAGCAGATTCTTGAAGATGGTTAAGGACTCAGCTGCTCAGACCGAGTTGGGCAGGTCATTCCACCAGGAGGGAACATTTAATTTAAAAGTCCGTGAAAGTGATTTTTTGCCTCTTTGGGATGGCACAATAAAGCGATGTTCACTTGCAGAAAGCAAGCTTCTAGAGGGTACATAAGTCTGAAGTAATGAATCTAGGTAAAGGGGTGCAGAGCCAGTGGTGGTTTTGTAGGCAAACATTAATGCCTTGAATTTTATGCGAGCAGCTATTGGTAGCCAGTGCAAATTAATGAACAGAGGTGTGACATGCATTCTTTTCAGCTCGTTAAAGACTAATCTCGCATTCTGGATTAGTTGTAGAGGTTTCATAGAACTGGCTGGAAGACCTGCCAAGAGAGCATTGCAATAGTCCAGCCTGGATAGAACAAGAGCTTGAACAAGATAGTCCAGCCTGGACAGACCAAGAGCTTGAACAAGGAGTTGTGTTGCATGTTCCGAAAGAAAGGGCCTGATCTTCTTGATGTTGAATAAAGCAAATCTGCAGGATCGAGCAGTTTTAGCAAAGTGGTCTGAGAAATTTAGCTGATCATTAATCACGACTCTAAGTTTCTGGCTGTTTTTAAAGGAGTTATGGTTCATGCACCAAGCTGGATGGTGAAATTGTGATGAAGTGATGGGTTTGTTGAAACCACAAGCAGTTCTGTCTTGGCTAGGTTGAGTTGCAGACAGATCCAGCAAGATAAGTATTGAAGATTTGGAATCCGCTCTTGCCAGTCTCGGTTGAATGTCCACATCTGAAACCAGACTGGTTGCTGTCAAGGAGGTTGTTCTGTTTGAAAAAGGCAGAGACTTGGTTGAACACAGCTCATTCAAGTGTTTTTGCAATGTAAGGAAGAAGGGAAACTGGTCTGTAGTTCTCTAAAAGAGATGGGTTAAGGGTGGGTTTCTTAAGTAGAGACTTCTGCCTCAGAGAGTGGAGAGAAGGATGAAAACGAATGTATGTTTGCTGGTAAGATGTGCTTGACAGATTGTGGTGTGGAAAATTGTGCACTGATGGTTTTAATTTTATCAATGAAGAATGTGGCAAAGTCGTCAGCTGTTAGAATTGATGAAGGAGGGGGAGGAGGAGGACAAAGAAGAGAGGTAAATGTCTTAAAGAACATGCAAGAATTAGAGGAATTGTTCATTTTGTTATGATAGTATGTGCTTTTAGCAGTGGAGACATTAGCGGAGAACGAAGAGAGGAGTGATCGATACACATTAAGGTCAGTAGTATTTTTTGATTCGTGCCATACCCTTTCAGCAGCCCTGAGTTTAGAACGATGCTCGTGGAGAACATCAGATAGCCAAGGGGCAGAAGAGGTGGTACGAGCTAGCCTGGGAACTGTTTAAGAGGAGGAAGGGAATATGAAACCATAGCAGATAGCCGGGAGGGTGAGAATGAGCGTAGGTTACGTCGAAAAGTGACATGTGGAGGGGTATGTGTTGTGTCAGGAACCATGTTGAGGTTAAGAGTGAGGAGGAAGTGATCCGAGGTGTGTAGTGGAGTAACTAGTACATGATCAGTGGAGCAGTGTCGTGTGTAAATAAGATCCAGTTGGTTGCCTGATTTGTGAGTAGCTGTAGTTAACACACTTGAGATCAAAAGAGGCAAGCAGAGTGTGGAAGTCTGCAGCCTGAGGTTTATCTAGGTGGATGTTGAAGTCTCCAAGCAAGGTGTGCAGTGGAGTAACCAGTACATGATCAGTGGAGCAGTGTCGTGTGTAAATAAGATCCAGTTGGTTGCCTGATTTGTGAGTAGCTGTAGTTAACACTTGCTTGAGATCAAAAGAGGCAAGCAGAGTGTAGAAGTCTGCAGCCTGAGGTTTATCTAGGTGGATGATGAAGTCTTCAAGCATAACTAGGTGAGTACCATCCTCAGGAAAGGTTGAGAGTAGCACATCTAATTCATCCAAGAAGTTACCTTGTGGTTCTGGGGGTTGATAAACAACTACAAAATTTTAAAAGGGTGGGAAATAGTGACTGAATGTGATTCAAAGGAGCTGTTAATACCCAGAGAAGGTAAAGGAATACATTTCCAATTATTAGAGATAAGCTGAAGGAATTAATGAACTGATAAATTCCAATGTAAGTCACTTTAGATAAACGTGTTAGGCAAATGTGCACATTCAGTATATTTATTTCAAGAACTTTTCCAAATTATGGATGACACCAATCTTGATGATTGCACTATAATTGTTTTCAGGTGATGTATAATTGGTAATAAGGAAATATGTGATTTAAAGTGACATGCATCCAAGATGATTCCAATGGCGGTCGGCCAAAACACTGGTATCAACTCCAGCATCAATGTAACCCTACATAGGACAAGCGGTTTGGAAGATGGATGGATAATTACTACACAGCATCCTTCTGCCTTATTTGAGTTGTTTTATTTTCACTTTGGGTCCCACTTGTCGATCTCTGACATCATTAACCCTTTACAGCCAATCATTCCACACCCTAAGTATATACAGTACCAGCTTTCTTTGATTTCTCTGATTTTGTCAGATCTAGTAGTTACTGTTGATAGAGCTCTTGAGTGTTGGTGATTTCAACATTCAAATATGAAAATGACAGGATTAAGATTAGCATTTTGTCAACTCTATTAGGTTTAGACAGAACCGCCATAATCTTATGCTAGATTTAGTTTTGCTATATACTGTTGATAACATAGCAGTCCTTCCACAGAGTGATGGCATGTGGGATCACTACCTTGTCACTTATGCTGAGCCTAGCCAAGGTCACTCAGTCTACACGAGTTAATCCACTAATAATCTTCCTGATCACAAATGCTCTATGTCCAAAAGCTCCGAACTTGAAGTTAGGACAGAACTATGAATATAATCATCTCTAACACTCTAATGTTGCCCCCTTCCATTTAAAGTAAGTTCAAGAGAAAAGCCTGAGAAAATAACAAAAACAGTCCCAGTTTTAGTACTGACAAGGAACAAAACAGATATTGCCTCACATCACATCAGTAAGGACTTTCTTAATTCTTTAACGATCCAGCCATCCGCCATAGCGTTTCAGAAGATTTGAGCTATAATAGGCTGCTGAGAGGATGAACTGTACAATATATACATATGGACAATAGATCTCAAAGATGCTCACTCCTTAATCTTACAGTTCAATCGATGTATCATTTCTACTACAGACATTATATTTTGACTGTATAGCCCAGGGGTGTTTGGCCCTGTTCCTGAAGGGCAACCTTCCAGCAGAGTTTAGCTTCAACACCTGTTAAACCCACCCAAACCAGCAAATCAAGGTCTTCAGGATTATTAGAAAGTTCCAGGCAGAGGAATAGGCATTAGAATCTGCAGGAAAGTGAGTAGGACTGGTTTCTACTATGGTCTTTTTTCTCCATTATCCAACAAGTTCCTGGCCACGGTTGCCTTTGGCTTGCACACTAAGGGACTAAAGATATTATGTATATATATATATATATATATATATATATATAATGTCTTGTCTCTCAAATAAACACCTGTTAAACCCACCCAAACCAGCAAATCAAGGTCTTCAGGATTATTAGAAAGTTCCAGGCAGAGGAATAGGCATTAGAATCTGCAGGAAAGTGAGTAGGACTGGTTTCTACTATGGTCTTTTTTCTCCATTATCCAACAAGTTCCTGGCCACGGTTGCCTTTGGCTTGCACACTAAGGGACTAAAGATATTATGTATATATATATATATATATATATATATAAATAATGTCTTGACTCTCAAATAACTGCAGTTAAACTGCTAAGGGGTGCGTGATATGATAATATTATTAAAATCCTAGACCTCATTTATATGCATCATTTAACCATGGCAGTGACACACATCACACATTTTGAAAATACCTAAAATATCAAAATCAACTGCGGGCGGCAGATCCTTTTCCTATTTAGCTCCCAAACTCTGGAACAATTT